TCACCTTCTCATTATGCGTTGCAACGGTTCGAAACTTTAACTGATTACACATATTATGGAGTTCTTTGGTCAAGAAAAAGAAGTGTCTTGTGTGAATTGTCCGCGCAAAGCTTCAGCAAAGTACTGTGAATTTCTTTTACTGAAATCCAATAAATTAATCCAAAAATATCAGTATTTCAATTAAAAAAAAACATATTTAATTTTAACTTTTGGCATTTTAAATCTCCGCTGAAATAAATTATTTCATAAAAGCTTTATTTAAAATATTTACTTGCGAGCTATTGTCCTTATCTCCATTGTTTTTATCACAACGTTTCGTCCAGTGTACCCTCCAGCCTGCACTAAGTGTATATCGATTCACGTAGCCTACAAGGATGTCGATCCATGTAAGGTACACCTGATGAAGGCCGGGGTATACAACGACCGAAATGTTTTGATAAATAAATTCTAAATATATTGAAGTTTTTATTTACACTCTATACATGAAGACTATTATCCTTATCTTTGTTGTTGTTATCACAACGTTTCAGCCGTTGTGTCATCCGGCCCGCACCAGGTGTATGTTGATCCAGGTAAGCTACAAGTATCTCGATTCATGTAACGTACATCTGATGAAGGCCATGGTATACAACAGCTGAAATGTTTTGATAAGTAAATTCTAGATATATTGACGTCTTTATTTACACTATATGCATGCAACTATTATCCTTATCTTTGTTGTGGTTATCACAACGTTTTAGTCGTTGTGACCTCCGGATTGCACCAGGTGTATGTCGATCTAGGTAAGCTACAGGGATGTCGATCCATTCAGCCAACATCTGATGAAGGCTGGAGTATACAGCGGTCGAAATGTTTTCATATCAAAAACAGCATTGAGGACAACAGCCTGTATGTGAAGAGTTTCAATAATAACTCCTGGTCCCAAAAATTCAGACAGAAAATATGGACGTCTGTTTCTGCACCTTACTTTGAACAGTAAGGCTTTTTTTTCAATACGTCTTTAAATATTTTGAGGAGAGCTTGGAATATTAGGTAATTTGAGAGGAACTTTTGGTGCTAAAATGGCAGATTCATCTAGTTTTCTAATTAAAGGTCGTGCTGTTAAATGCTATTCCTCGTTATGCTAAACAGTTAATGATTTAACTCGGCATAAATTCCTTAACTTTCAAAATAAATGTGCAATACGCACAAATCTTGCACAAATCTGAAATAAATTAATTTCGCTTTATATCTTAAACCCTCTGCAATATGTGGAAATTAATAAAAATTAAGAAAATATCATTTTCACTTGCCTTATACACACACACACACACACACACACACACACACACACACACACACACATATATATATATATATATATATATATATATATATATAAAGTGAACATTGAAGTCAACACTTAGAGGCGGCAGGCTGTTTCATACTAGACGTAATCGTCAAGGCAAGACTCGTGGCCTAACGATTGCGTCTAGCATAAAACAACCTGTCGCCTCTAAGTGTTGACTTAATGTCCACTATATTTACACACGCACTATCTCTGATATTGAGCACTCCACCGCATAAATATAGCACACCTTAAAAGTATATTCCTTATATATATATATATATATATATATATATATATATATATATATATATATATGATTAGCATTAAGATATATGTAAAATTGCAACCAGATCCCAAACTATTATGAATATGTTCAGAATTAAAAAGTACCCATAAGTATAAAAATTCCTAAGCAGGTATATATAAAATATGTTGTCAGAAGTGCTCCTCATAATACATTGGCGAAACTTGCAGAAATTTTAACAAAACTTATCTATGAAGACAAAAGAGATATTATACAAAAAAATTATCAACGCTAGACAGCACCGAAGCTGAATGCAAAAACAAACAAAAAAACAGAGTTTACAATCGTCAGGGGAGACCTTAATACAAAAGTAGCCAAGGAGAGAGATGATAAATAGCAAATTTTGTCAAGGAACTCGTTATAAAAGCGGAGAAAAATAAGTCCAATTATGCACGGCGAATAATCAGGTTATAGCCAAAGCCTGGTTTCAAGAAAACCAAAACGTATATGGACATGGAGAAGCTAAAGTGCAGAAACAAAATAACAAATCAACTATATAACTATCAATAAAAGATTCAGGAATGCAATTTTACACCACAAAACAAACCCAAATGTCGACTGCGGGAACAACTACATCCAGTAATATATAAACTTGGTGTGAAATTACAGAAAGCGAAGGGGACTATGACTGCACCCAAATTGCAATACAGCAGAAACCCGAATTATTCGAACGTGAAGGAGAAATATATGGACAGTGTTAAAGGCAGATACAATGAACAAAATGAAAACGGAAACTCGAATTGGGACACATTAAGAGAAGCTTTAGTGATATCAGCAATCGAGACCATCTCAAAGAAAACTAGACAAAGAAAAGGTGATAAATAACACCTGAAATTCACGACATGATGACAGAGAGACAAAAAACAATGCTAAAAATGTCACAGAATATAAGATACTGCACAAAGTAATCAGGTAGAAATGCAAGCAGGCTAAAGAGGAGTTGCTCAACGAAAAGTGTGTAGAAACAGAAACTTCTTCGAATAGAATTTAATAAAAACTTAGATTGTTACAAGGTAACACGTAGGATGCAAAATAAAGCTGTAGATTGTCTTCTGGTTGTGGCACCGAAATAGGAGGTTGTGGAGATCTATGATCACGCTCATCCTGAAGGGACATGTCACATAAGAGCAACAGAATTTGTTAGTAAATTCCACCCTCATTAAATGTGTCGCTTTCATATTTCTGTATAGACCTGAGCTAGTTTGTAATGCGTAAAAGACGCAAACCCACAGCGAGACAAACTGCTAATGATATGGGGTGATATGTCTTGCAGCAGTCTCCGGCATTTTTCCCTTTAAATGAACAGTTAAAACGAACAGTTAAAGATACGCGAGTCACGACATCATTCCCGTTTCAATGTCGGCTGTTTCTAGTTTTCTGAAATAAAGTAAAGAAGACAGAAATGTACTTTGGTTGGTAAACAAATTAAAAGAAAGAAAATTACGAATGACGTTTGCAGACGACACGGACGCCATTAGACAAATTGGGATCGCGCCATATTGGGCGCGACAGGCGTTACTTTTTGCATCGTTATAGCTTTAGTTAGATATATTAGAATACTGAGATCTCCAGAGAGAAGAGATTGCGCGTGAAGGTGTTTTGATGAGAACGACCCCCAACCTCAAAAACCAAAATCCAAAATACACTCTTCGCGATAAGATATATATATATATTTAACGAATATATATAATTATTTCACAGTTACTTGATAACATTCCACTTGTAGTTTTTTTTTTTTTTCCATTGATTTAATTCTTTTTGTTATGTTTGTTGATACAACAATGTTTCAGCCAATCCCCGCATGCACGTGCAGGAATTTATCCGCGACCACATCGCAACAGAAAATGACACTATATATATATATATATATATATATATATATATATATATATATATATATATATATAATACAATTAAGATTACATTAGGTTAATGATCATTTTCACCTTGTAGATATGGAAATAATATTTACAAAGGATTTTTCAAACCAGCCAATGAATAAGAAATTATTTCGATAATTTATCATCCATTGACTGGTTTGAAAAAATATAAATTTTATTTCAATATCTACAAGGTGAAAATGATCATTAATAATTAATGTATTCTTGATTTATATTGTTTAAAATATGTTGTTATGTTTAATTAAAACATTGAACTATATGTGTGAATCAGTTTTAATATGTAATATCTTATATTGTATTAATAGGATTCCCTTGGATTATATACAACCGGATTACTACCTATATATATATATATATATATATATATATATATATATATATATATATATAATCTATTCACCCCAAGCAAGGCGATAAGCCCACTATGATACATGGGCCTACTGGGATTGAATATGACTGAGACAACTTCAGAAGGAACCGGAATCAGAATGGCAAACATGAGATATATCTCTACTCCTGTCTAAAAGACCGAGGAGAAATGTAAAGCGGGTGGTAGCCGAACCTATCTACTCCTATTTATTAAAGAAAAGCGGGAAGAAAGGACTAACTATCAATTGAAAGACAGAATGTATGGTTGTCAGCAAGAGAAATGGTCCGTGATGCAAACGACGAATTGGAGATGCCAAAATCAAACAAGTGCGAAAATTTTAATATTTTGTAAATGTGACACTGAAATCCGAAGGAGCATTGGAATAGCGAAAAATGTTTTCCAAAATCTAAGTAAAGTATTAAGAAACAGGAAAAGTTCATTAGAAACAAAGAGAAGAATGCTGCTGTTATATAATATGTTTAATTCAGGATAATTTCCTCACAACTGAAGTTGAAACCAGAGGCAACAAATGTTGTTCTACAGAAGGATGTTGAGAATACTATGGGTGGAGTATGTAAAAACGGAGAAAAATGTAATCAAAAAGGTTGCTTATTACGCAAAGGTGTTCGATAAAGTACGTCACAAACATCTATTGGAACTGCTCAACAACCCTGATATATTTAGGAAGGATTTTAGAATAATCATGAACTTATATTGACAACAAACTAGGGAACACAATGAGGTACAGGGTTTACGAGAAATAACAGAAACACCAAATTTATTGAGAGCTGCAACGGACAGGGACTTATAGAGAGACATGATGGCTACGCTCTCAGGAGTCATGGTGTATAAAGAAGATGCTTAGAAGTATAAAGAGGCAGTTGAAATTTATTCATGCTGAGGAAAGAAGGTTTGGAAAATTTGACACGCGCAGAACATATTGAAGAACAGCTGGTAACCTATCTACGAGCTTGTGCAAATCGATAGCAGGACAGCACAGGGGAGAAATATTATGGGATAAACATTTTCTAGAGCTACAAAAAATAAGTAGTTGTTGAGAGCCATGGCTTCTCACGTCTTGAAGAGAAACGGCACAAAGAAATAGATAGATATATGAGAGAGGGAAAGAGAGAGAGGGGGACAGAGAAAGAGAGGGGGAGAGATATGCATGCAATGCAACGGTAATCAGCACAGAAAGTTATACCATCATACCATGTAAAGAAGCACAAGGACAAAAATATGGTAGAGTGAGATGATTCAATGTTGAACGCTGAATCGACAACCATTTGGATAATGTTCCATAACGAAACGCCAAAAACACATACCTTGTAAAATAGTACTAAGTGTAAACAAACAATATGGCATAGCGAAGAACTTGGAGTAAATACCTGATTAAATTTGTACTTCATCCGCTAATTAGCCGTCCCAACTCTTCCGGTTATTTATTAGCCGTTATCCGTATTAAACCACTTTCCCAAAACGGTTTAGAGATATTTAAAAAAGAAGAAAATATTAAAAGCATTTTAAAGTTATTAAAAAAAAGAAGAAAATATTAAAAGCATTTTAAAGATATTAAAAAAAAGTAATCTATGGAGACACATGAACGGTTACGTCTTGAAGAGGCATTTCAAAAAATGACGCTAAACTGAAGCCTTACTTTGTGTCCGTCGGGTTAAATAACGGTATTTTTATATATATATACATATATATATATATATATATAGTAACACCTTAATAAACTGACTGAACAGAACACCCTTCGTTATCAAATAGATTTTTATCCAGCTAACTCATACACAATATAATTATTTTTTTGAAGCATTTCACCCCAAGCACGGCGGATTTGGGATTTTAGCAAGAATATCTAAAATTATAACAGGAGAACCAGACCAGATGCGACCACAATATTCTATACATGGACGAGTGGCAGGCTTATAAATTTGTAAGATAAATTCGGGAGAGAATAATTGCCTAGCACCACATAGCGAACCAACTTTCCTAGCAGCAGACCTAACAATGGATTCAATAAAATCTTTCCACTTTATGTCAGTGGAAAACGTTTGTTCGAGAACATGCGACTGGTCACTCTCCTGGAGGTTAGCATCAGCCATGCTGATAAAAGGCAGAAAGAGGTCTACCAGATGATTGATAGAGAACAGTTTCGTTTTGGAAGCCTTAGAATTAACAAGCCGTTCAAGGAAGCGTTAAAATTAAGCCATTCGAGGAACCATTCAAGGAAGCGTTAAAATTAACAAGCCATGCAAGGAACCATTCAAAGTAGGGTTAAAATTAACAATTCATTCAAAGAATGGTTAGAATTAACAAGCTATTCAAGGATTCATTCAAGAAACCATTCAAAGAAGCGTTAACAAGTCATTCAAGGAAGCGTTAAAATTAACAAGTCATTCAAGGAAGGGTTAAAATTAACAAGCCATTCAAAGATCCATTCAAGGAACCATTCAAGGAATCGTTAAAATTAAGAATTCATTCAAAGAACCATTCAAAGAAGCGTTAAAATTAGCAATTCATTAGAGGGATCGTTAGAATTAACAAGCTATTCAAGGATTCATTCAAGGAACCATTCAAAGAAGCGTTAAAATTAACAAGTCATTCAAGGAAGGGTTAAAATTAACAAGCCATTCAAAGATCCATTCAAGGAACCATTCAAGGAATCGTTAAAATTAAGAATTCATTCAAGGAACCATTCAAAGAAGCGTTAAAATTAACAATTCATTCAAGGAAGCGTTGAAGTTAACAATTCATTCAAGGTAGTGTTAAAATTAACAAACCATTCAAAGATCCATTTAAGGAACCATTCAAGGAAGCGTTAAAATTAACAAGTCATTCAAGGAAACGTTAAAATTAACAAGTCATTCAAGGAAGCGTTGAAATTAACAACTCATTCAAGGAAGCGTTGAAATTAACAAACTATTCATGGAACCATTCAAGTAACCATTTAAGGAATAGTTAAAATTAATAAGTCACTGCTTACTCCAGTTAATAGCAGATTGTAGCTTATTTTTTAGATCAGCCTCCAATTTGACTTTATCAAATCGATGAGATTTACTATTAAAACAGAAGTAAATAATTGTTTTCAAGAAATGTTAAACATAGTACTCAGCATCCGTTGGTTTGATTTAAGCTTCGATTCAAGGGTTTTAGTTAATGTCCTAAGAAGTGGCATCATAAATTAAAACTATCTCTACAGTGGCGTGAAAGAATCTCCGTTTGAGGTTGTCTGGTAGATCAGATTTCCAAATTAGATCCTGCTAAATCGCAGATCTATGGACCCATCCCTGATATTTCTACAACCTTACGTGAACGCAGACGGCTTGCTCGCCCATCAACCACCTTCCCTGATCAACTATGTTACGACACAGGATGCCACCCGAATGACCCTCCCACCTAGATGCAGGACCGGGATCTCAGGAGACAACATCCAACAACTAAGTCATATGGTCTATGGACCCATTCCTGGTATTATTATATTCTTACGCAAATGCAGGACCCTACTGACGAACGAAACAAGAACTTGCGACTAATCTACTGTTCTGGAGACCTAGCCGTGGCACAAGAAAGGTTGCTCGCCAAGTATCAGCTACACTGACCAACTATGTTATGACAGAGGATTCCACCCCAGTTATCTTGACGCAGGATCGTGATGCTTGGCGTGATAGAATCGGGAATGTCCGAGCAAGATCGACCTAATAAAAAATAAAATAAATACTTAGATATTGAGTTGAGAACATCAGGAAGGTCATTGATGAAAAGCAGAAACAGCTTAGGTACAAAGATAGATTCCTGGAGGACACCTGCGTTATGGCAGAAAGAGCTAGAAGGGTTACCATTCGAGACAACTTTCATATCTAAATGTTTCGGTCGAGGAGCTACCATTTTACTGGCGAAAGAAAAATGGCTAAAAACGTATTATGATGAGGTAAACTATCTTCTTGTAGCTGTAATAGGACTCCGATTAAACTGCTAGCTGCTAATCCCACTTTTCAGCGTGTGGATTAATTATGTCTTAACAACTTGATTTGATTTTTATATATTTTCTTTACTTATTTATTTGTGCATCTTTCATGGAAAAAATGTTCGACAAGGAAGATTTATTTAATCTTTTATTGAGTTTTTCAGGATTTAAAGAATGTATCCTTTAACATCTAAAAAACGGAAGAACTCAATAAATGATTAATTAAATCTTCCTTGTTTGCATTATTTACATTATTCGAACTGTTATCTTCATCTTCTTTACCAGAGAACAGCAATGAATAACAACAAAAACTGCAGTATAAGCTCTGGTAAAAAATGCAATAATAACAGAAAAAAATTGCAATATGAGCATTGGTAAAAAAAAAATGATTGCTGAGGCATTAGGCTTATAAGTCCCAAGAATTCATGCACAGATTTCCTCAAGGACATATGGCCCAGTGGATAAAGACGTTGGTGACATCCAGTGATTAGACCCAAAGAGTTGTGAGTTCAATATCAGGCCACTAGTGGAACTAAAACAATCTACACCGGTGGACGAAATAAATAAAGGGTCCGGTTCGAAATTCCAATCACCTGAAGAAGGCCAGAGCGTACAACGGCCGAAACGTTGGGAATATGGCAATAAGGAGAGTATAACAGTCCGAATAATGTAAATAATGCAAGTAATCATAATACCTCATCTCAGAGATCCTATCACCTGAAGAAGGCCGGAGCGTACAACGGCGGAAAAGTTGTGAATATGGCAATGAAGATGAGGATAACAGCCCGAATAATGTAAATAATCTTAATACCTCATCTTCCTTACTGGCTGTTTTCAATCAAAGATGCATGAAAGAAAGGTTACTGTCCAATTATTTATTTGTCAAGATACCTGATATGCCAAACAACGGATTTACATTTGAAATATTCTTTTAAAAAAATGAAAGGAAAAAGAATTTGGCTCTGTAAGTCGTGACTAATGGTGAAGTGTTCTGTGAAGGCTTACAGATCTATCTATGCGTTCTCATCTTTCATAGCCAGGAAAAAGAGATTCGCTGGCTTCTTTTCATTCATGTCCGAACAACTTTTATAATAGAAAGCTAAATACGGTTGGCTGGGAAGCTTCTCCTCATCCAGCACCCCTCCATTTCGCAAAACATTGAGTATAAGTTTGGCACACCCTAACACCTGCAGAAAAATGTTTCTCACTACCTCGTCACATACACATGCGTGAGGGCACACATTAAAATGTGCCACATTTGTCTCCGCGGGAAGGAAAATAAATACAGGTTTTGCCCTCACTTCAAAGGCGGCCTATTTTCAAGGGTTAAGGAGAAATGATGTGATGAAAGCAGTGGCTGAAAATGAATCCCAGCAAGCAGAATAGACAGATTGATATTAACAAATATATATATATATATATATATATATATATATATATATATATAAAGAATCTGCTTCAATCTATGTTGATAGAAAAACGACACAAGGAACTCTGACACTGGTTAATAAAACAATAAAATACGCCTATTTATAATGGTAAATCTTCCAATGAAGATGAACGAATCTACGTGATAGATAGATAGATAGATAGATAGATAGATAGATAGATAGATAGATAGATAGATAGATAGATGTGAAACGAGATAGATAAGAATAGAGACGAAAACAGATAGATAGATAGATAGATAGATAGATAGATAGATAGATAGATAGATAGATAGATAACCCAATTCCTCTTTGCGTGTTTTTATTTCAGGCCCTAACAAGGCTACAATAGATAGATAGATAGATAGATAGATAGATAGATAGATAGATGTGAAACGAGATAGATAAGAATAGAGACGAAAACAGATAGATAGATAGATAGATAGATAGATAGATAGATAGATAGATAGATAACCCAATTCCTCTTTGCGTGTTTTTATTTCAGGCCCTAACACGGCTACAACAGATAGATAGATAGATAGATAGATAGATAGATAGATAGATAGATAGATAGATAGATAGAAAGGAAGGAAGGAAGGAAGGAAGGAAGGAAGGAAGGAAGGAAGTGGCTGAGATGTAAAGACATCAATAGACTGCTAGAGAAATATGAAAATAAGAAACAGATTACTTCCTTTGTGGTGTCTCTTCAGATAGATAGATACATACATACATAGATATGAAAATTTGTATAGAAATTCACTGCTACATTAGAGTTTACAAATTACATAGCAGTTCAGCACAATTTCCTTTGTAATAAAAACTATCCAGTTTCTTAATGCCTTTCTTAGTTTCTGGAAGACATCTTTCACTGTTTTAATGTAAAAATTATATATTACACGGCAGTTATCTGTTCTTTGTTTCAAACGAAATTTTCCTGTTTCTTAATAGCTTGCTTAATTTCTGGAGGGCTTCTTATTTAAAAATTATATATTACACGGCAGTTAAATAATCTGTTCTTTGTTTCTAGCGAAATTTTCCTTTTTCTTAATACCTTGCTTGATTTCTGAAAGATCTAATATAAAAAATCTTATAATACGCGTCAGTTAAATAATCTGTTCTTTGTTTCTACCGAAATTTTCCAGTTTCTTAATACTTTGCTTAGTTTCTGGAAGGCATCTAATGTAAAAATTACATATTACACAGCAGTTAAATAATCTGTTCTTTTTTTTTCTAACGAAATTTTCCTGTTTCTTAACACTTTGCTTAGTTTCTGATGGGTGACACTTATGACAGCTGAACTTAGAATGAAAAATAACAAAAACTAACAAAGGCAGTTTTTCTTTACTTGCCTCTCATTGAATTCCTGTAGTTTACTTTCTGCGTCTGCAATCGATACAGAGTCATCTGCACATCATATGATGCTAAGGTTTTGTTCGACATTGATTAATCCTCGTGGAATTTTTTGTCATCTTAGTATCGGCTTCCTGGAAAAGTTGAATAAATCCGTTGTAAAAATATATTGTACTCTTATGGTCGTTTTTATTTTTTCATTACATAGCTATTACATTTTCTATTTGTATCTAGGCGGTTTGCTTCCAATAATTATTCCAGATATATTCTAGCAACTTTACCAAATAAATCAGGTTTTCCTACTTCGATCTTTAGTGAATATCTGTACGGATGATAGAACAATTTATCGATGATTCTCTAAAAATCTGACTGTACTGGTTATGACGATAAACTACATCCGCGTCCTGGGTATGACGATAAACTACATCCGCGTCCTGGGTATGACGATAAACTACGTCCAACAGCAAGGCCACTCATCAGAAGGTTTTTTTAGGAACGTGGTACAACCTCTTGATTGCTAGTATTCCCAGGTCCTCCCTGACCCGGGGTGGTAGCACCTGTTAGTGTCACAGATATGGGCAAATAGTTAGACCCTAAACTGGGATCAAAATACTATGAAAGTGTAAAAATATGTTTTAATACCAGGAATACTTTGGAAAAAATTATAACCAGTAATAAATTTTTGAAGGAAAAAATTATTATCAGCAATACAAACAGCTACATATTTTTTTTTAAATATTAGCAGCAATAAATCTTTGAAGAAATAGATTTTTGAAGAAAAACATACTACCAGCAAAACATTTTGGAAAAAAAATATTACGAGCAATAAAAATTTTGTCAGCATTAAATATCCCACTGAGTTTGATATGTCGTAAACCAAATCAAACCAAAATCAAACCAAAAATCTGAATGGCCAGAACTTGGAAACGGACCTAGGCCTGTTGGTACAGCGGGGGAAGTGTCGCTTAATTAAAAAAAAAAAGAGTAAATTCCAGAACCTGTGAGTGTTGTAAAACTGATTCAGGATATAAAAGGCCTCAAAATCGACACGGAGGACCTTTCGCGGCCAAAGCCGAAGTAGGCTTATCATCTCTCAATTGCTTGTCTGTCTTCTAGCAAAGTGTGACTTAGTTGTGGTTCTGTTCGTGAATAGAGACACAGCCGCGGAAAATAAAAACTGTGAGCTGTCCGGCCTTGGGGATCAGCTGTCCGAGGCTATACACCCCATTGCACAAGAGAGGGGGCATCAGTAGTCATACCAATGCAGCGCAACCGATGGCTGCGGAGGCTGGACAATTTTTGTACTTGGCCCGGGTGAACGCGCTCGGGTTCCTCACATTAAACCCGATCTTGTGTCCCAACTCGCCTTACTGGGAGGACCGGGTTAAATAAAGCTATGATGGCCGAGATCAAAGTGTAGTATCTGTTCCAGCAGCAGACAAACGGCACACGGTTTCCAGCCATCATTATTAGCTCCAACTCACCATCGGCCGTCGCATCAGCCAACCATACCCGCCAGTCGTAACGACAGGCGATGAATTGTCTTCTTCATGACAACTATTCTCAACTTCCACAAAAGTGTCCTTCTTAGGAGAACGTTCCTCTGACCTTCTACATGAACATGCAGATATATTTTTGCCCAGTGCACAATATATTTATATTAAATAGTCGGCATCAAAATACTTTCATGGATCCTCATTAGAGGTTCAGGCTCACAGCCACATCACGTGGAAACTTCAAAAAGAAATATAAAGCGCTAGAATGCATAGGAAATTGTGGAGGGTCATGATCGCCATTGACCTGAAGTGAAACGGCCCATAGAAGAAGAAGTACAAGCTTGTGTAAATGGATGGCGGAACAAAATTTGGGAGCGATAACAAATAGGCAAAATTTATTAAGAATTAGAAATCATAGGAAATTGTGGAGGGCCATGATCGCCGACGTCCTGAAGGGACACGGCACATAGAAAAAGAAGTACAAGCTTGTGTAAATGGATGACATAAGAGTGTTTAGGAAAGATAACAAAAAGGCGCAAATTATTAAGAGCTTGAAAGGATCGGAAATTGTGGTGAGCCATGATCGCCAACGTTCTAAAGGAACACGGCACATAGAAGAAGAAATACAAGCTTGTGTAAATGGATGGTAGAACAAAGTTTAGGAGAGATAGCCAAAAGGCTCAATTTATTAAGATCTGGAAATCTTAGGAAATTGTGGAGGGCCATGATCGCCGACGTCCTGAAGTGACACGGTACACTGAAGAAAAAGTACAAACTTGAGTAAAGACCTAAAAAGCATAGGAAGTTGTGTAGGGCCATGATCGCCTTTGTCCTGAAATGAAACGGCCCATAGAAGTACAAGCTTGTGTAAATGGATGGCGGAACAAAATTTAGTAGAGATAACAAATAGGCAATATTTATTAAGAATTGGAAATCATAGGAAGTTGTAGAGGGCCATGATCGCCAACGTCCTGAAGGGACACGGCACATAGAAAAAGAAGTACAAGTTTGTGTAAATAGATGACATAAGAGTGTTTAGGAGAGAGAACAAAAAGGCACAATTTATTAAAAGCTGGAAAGGATAGAAAATTGTGGAGAGCCATGATCGCCAACATCCTAAATAGATTCAACACGTAGAAGAAAATGGAAAATTTAAATGATTAAAGGCTCATTTCTTCACATTTGTACACCCACAAAGCATTGGCTATGGAGAAAGTTACCTGATTGGGACTCTCATTTTATCCTTGAGATTTGAAAGGATTATGCTTAATCTGGTTCAAAGTCAAATTATCCAATTATGAATCCATATCGTGTAGTACAATGGGTTCTCTGTCGATTGATTAAGACGTCCACGTAAGGAAGCTGAGTGTAAGTGATAACATCTGGGCCTGAAATGACCAATGTTTTATGACAACCAACAAAAAATTGAAATGCGCTGTCCAGAAGGCTTGAGTATAAAAAGAGATAGAGTCAGGCGGAGGCCGAGTTCTTGTTGACCGAAAGGGAGATATGGTCCGTTAGTCTGTCGTGACAGAAGACAGTATCAATAAGCGAAAATGTCCTATGTATCCCTTACCTAACCTCCAGACAATCCCAGGTGAACTGATACGCCATTGTTTTTAATCATTTCGCCCAAAGTAAGTCAATAAAGCCACCAAGACGAGAGGGATTATTAATTGTGAAAGAATATATGAAAAAAAGAAAAAAAAACTATTTAAGATTATATAGGAGAAGGCCAACACAAGAGCAGGAATTAAAAAGATAACGACTGATATTACATTTAAATTTTGGAAGATCAAAGTTGACTGGAAAGCAAAAGACCAGAAAATGGTTCCATAGGCGAGAATCGCGAGAGAAAAATGTTAGTGTAGAACTTATGGTTACGTCTTGCCATTTAAACTGTAAAATGGTGAGACCTAGCTGCCAATCTAGTATTGCGTTTAAATTCACAACTCGAGGGACAAAAGAGTAAATCTCATCAGAACAATTACTGTGGAACTATTTATAAAAAACAAAAAAGAGGGAGGCAAAGGGAAGCTACAGTAAATCAGACTGAAGCCGAGATGCAAGATCAGGGCCGATAACATTGGCAGATTCTTCTTTCGATTTTGTCAATAATATCTAAATACATTACAGAATCCCAACACTAGATGTGATTGTAATATTGAAAGCATAAGCGAGTACTTTCGATTCAAACTACAATCTTTATCAAAAGAGTCAAAATTACGCAGATTAAGAATAAAAGAACTTTAAGAATAAAAGAAAAGTTTACCAATTTTATTTCTGGCATAAAACAACTTAAAACTTAGCTGAAAAAAACGCAATAATAAGCTGTATAAAGAGACGTTGGTATTGTTGAAGAAAGCACGCTTAAAGAAAAATCCTTGCTGCCTAAATAAACCTTATATACGTGGTGTAACAGCAAAATTGTCCAAATCGTGTAAAAGCAAAATTGTCAATTTCTTAAATTAAGCTTTGAACCTGTGTATCTTACAATTGATTAAAGACAACTTACTGGAATTCTCTAAGGTTTTTATAACACTACTGGACTCTACTTTGATCAAGAAGAATGTATAATTACTCTCCAAGCTTAACAGAAGAATCGTGATAAAATAGATCATAAACAAAAATGAGATGTTCATCATTAATTAAACATTGCTAATGATCGGAAGCTGATGAAAATTGAAATAAAGTTCAAATATATATATATATATATATATATATATATATATATATATATATATATATAGTATTCCAGCATCATTTTCCTACTTATTCAAGATGATGTTCGCCCTATCTAACCTTCTAACTTTCTGTCCTGGAGTAACAAGGTGCCTCACAGGGTTCACGTACGATCGATTTGATTTTCATTCTTTTTTCACTGCTCTTTGAACTGTCATAGCTGAAACTCTTCTCTCACGTGCCAAACGTCTTATGGTTTGAGTTGTATCTTTTCTAACTGATCTGTTAGTCACTAAGTTTAATGATGATCCCTCTTCCTGCTGTGACCTTCTGATCCGGTTTTCTTCTTTACTTTTTTAAACTTACTCACCGTTCTCTTGATGGTTCTTTGAAGATAGAAGCCAGAGGATGAATGTTGGTAGCATTACTGAAGACCTGAATGATATTTTTCCTCTCACCATTGCTCAGTTGGGAAGGTATAATGGGGATGACAGAAAACGATTTTAACCTGTTCTTTTTCTAGCTGAATTGGTTTTTCAGTGACTCTTAACGCAAATGGTGTCAAGATGTCTAAACGTCATATCTGAAAAGCTGGTAAAAGAAACACTATTAGATCTGAAAAGCTGGAAAAAGAAACACTATTAGGTCTGAAAAGCTGGGAAAAAAAGAAACACTATTAGATCTGAAAAGCGGGAAAAAGAAACACTATTAGATTTGAAAAGCTGGAAAAAAAGAAACACAGTTTACTGTTTATTTTTTAGATATTAAAAATGTTGTGGGATGGATAATTATCCCACACTGTTACAGGATTTGGATCTGATATATATATATATATATATATATATATAAACGAATGGGTAAATATACATAGGTATATGAGAGAACACTTGAAAATTGCTTCGGCAGGAAACTTCGAGTTGTGCAATTAATACAAGATATGTATATTGCTTAATATATATATATATATATATATATATATATATATATATATATATATATATATATGTGTGTGTGTGTGTGTGTGTGTGTGTGTGTTATAGTAGAAAAGAAAGAACAGTAAGATATATAATCCGGTGTTCTTATTGATATTTTTATTTTTGCAAAACAGTGCTCAATGTAAATTTAAGGAGCATAAATATTATAGATTAACTGATTTAAACATATGGTTACATCGCTACACAGATTCCAAAATTCGCTTTGAGATGAAACAGAACAAATGTTTTTGATTTAATTATATATTTGAATTTGAAGTTTTTAGTTTCTGTTTTTGAAACATGGTAATTCCTGTGTAGCGATGAAACCATATTTTTAAATCAGTTAATTTATAATATATATATATATATATATATATATATATATTTAGTGTAACCCGGATATAAGAGACCCGCATATAAGAGAAACCCGGATATAAGAGAGATTTTCTCTGGTCCCAAATTAGAGCCTGTGTTAATGTATATAAAATAGACCAAACCCAGATATAAGAAAGCCGGATATAAGAGACTTCTTCTCCGGTCCCGACAACTCTCTTATATCCGGGTTACACTGTATATATATATATATATATATATATATATATATATATATATATATATATGCAGAGTCGGGCAAAATTATCGTCCTTTTTTATTTAGTAACTTTTATTGAACAAAAATAAATTACAGTTAAGAAAATTTATAAATATTGTCACATGAAAACAACATAATTTGTTATGATTACCAAACTATTTAATTTCTTCAAAATGTTCCTCTTCATGTCCAATACAAGGCTGAACACTATCAGCAATACTTGTACAAACAATTTGATATACATCTACATTCATTTCAGAAAGCCTATAAGAAATTGCCTGCTTGAATTCAGGAACTGTTTTCGGTTTGAGCCTGTAAACAAGACCTTTAAACAAGACCTGGTGCTGTTAGGTCTGGTCTGTCTCCACAAAGGTGAAAAAAAGACTCAAGGCAGCGGAAGTATGGTTCTACAGAAGGATGCTAAGGATATCATGGGCCGAGCGTGTGAGCAATGATGTTGTTTTGGAGAGGATGAAAACAAGGAGGAAGCTTATACTTAACATCAGGAAGCTGCAGCTGAAATTTAGGGAACACGTAATGAGAATGGAGGGCTTGGAGAATCTGATACTCACAGGGCAAACAGGGGAAAAAGAGACAAGGGAAAGCAACGTGTGACATACCTAGCGGGCTTAAGCAAGTGGATGACAGAACATGGTCTGGAGGAAGTAGCAAAGGGACAAAACATGTTGAGAGCTACAAGGGATAGGAGGAAGTGGAGAGCCATGACCGCCGACGTCCTGAAGTGACATGGCAAATAAAAGAATAATATTGATGGCGACTCAAATGCTCCATGTCGTCCTATCCACCTCAGCTCGAAAATAAAAAAAAAAGGCGTTAATTTTGCCGCACGCTGTATACGCAGCAGACGACCCACACAGAAATGCAGAAACAAATTCTTTTTTTTTTTTTTTAATTCATATTTTTCTTATTTGGTTCGTTTCTGAAAGAAGAAAAAAAATTCCTCCCTTTACGCTAAATGATAAAATCTTTTTGTGTTAAATTATTTCAGAATATTTTATTACAAGTCGCTGTAGATCTTCGTTATGCATAGGAAGATCGTATATTCGGAGGAGGCGATGTTTGCCAAATGAAACGATTAAAAACCAATAGCAATAAATTATAATAAAATGAAGCAGAGAGAGAGAGAGAGAGAGCGAGAGAGAGAGAGAGAGCGAGAGAGAGAGAGAGAGAGATGGATGGGAAAAAGCAATTATACGAATAATTTCAATTTCCGTAACTTTTCGCATTTATTTGTTTAAAAGAAATTAATCCGGGTGCTAAAAATATTACATGCCACATTGTTCTTAGAGAAAGCGGGGGGAAAAAAGACAGTCTGTGACGTCTCTAGTTTCGTTCACAGGCATTTCAAGCTTCGTGTTAGCCGGATAATGGTAACACGAATGTTCTGATTCTCATTGCATGGTTGGTGAGGCTCATTAACTATACATCGGGTTCTCATTTGTTCGTGACGTGAAAAATATGAGTTTTCAGTTTTCAATAGTATCAATGAATTTAAAAGACTATTTTTTTTTCATTTTTAGAAGTATTTTCACTAAAATTTAATTTAGTAGAAGATGTGACCTATTCAACTAAGCGCCCAGTACCCTGCTGACGGCCCTCACACAAGGAGACACATTATCCGAGAGGAGACTTGTAGGTTCAGATATAAATCCGTACAATGTTTGCGTATAAACTCGGGTTGTCCTGTGTACAGGAATAAACTCCCTCCTGCCGAGAGGACCCAGATCGGGAGATTTAAGGTTTTGAGGAGCATAGGACCACCTCTTAATAGCTGTTGTATCCAATACCACCCTGACTCGGTCATGATAGCACCTGTTAGGGGGTCCCAGCTATGGGTAAATATTTAACACCCAAACTGGGGTCAAAACACTATGAAAGTATAAAAAATACATTTTTAGAATGAAAATACCAGAAATGCATTTTCATAATAAATTACCAGCAATAAATTTTTGAAACAAAAAAAAAAAAAATTAGCGGTAATACATTTTGTAAAGAAAATTCCTAATTCTCCCAAGAAGATTAAATTTCGGTATTAAATGACCCATGAAGAATTGGTATGCCGTTAAACAAACAAAACATATAACCTCATGCAAATGTTTGCGTATAGCGATTTACTAAGAGAAGCTTAGATGTGGTACAAGGCCGAAAGTATGGAGCACCCAGTGAGGATCGAAATCACTACTCAGTCGTAAATGATCATGCAAGACAAGCTTGTTAACCATTACACCACGTTGAAGTGCCTAAATTACGCTGGCGTATAGACTCAAGATAAAAGCTTACCAACGTTTGCGTATGGCCGCAAGTATAATGATTTTCCAAGCGTAGCTTGTAAGTGGCACAAGGCTGAAAGTAAAGGGCACCCAGTGAGGCTTGAACTCACTACTCAGTCGTAATTGTTCAAGCGAGACAAGCTTTCTAACCATTACACCACCCCGAGGTGCCCAAATTTATTCTCTAAGCGTAGCTTAGATATGGCACAAGGTCGAAAGTATGGGGCACCTAGTGAGGATCAAACTCACTTTTCAGTCGTAACTGATCTAGCGAGACAAGATTGCTAACCATTACACCACGCCGAGGTGCCCAAAATAAACAGAAACACCGTAGCGATCTTCTAAGCGTAGCTTAGATGTGGCACAATGCCGAAAGTATAGGGGTACCCAGTGAGGATCGAACTCATTCGTAATTGTGCTAGCGAGACAAGCTTGTTAACCATTACACCATGTTGAAGTGCCTAACGAATGTTGGTGTATACACTTAAGATAAAAGCTTACCAACGTTTGCGTATAGCCGCAGCTATAAACCCGACTAATGTGTTCGTATTGACTCAACTAATAACTTAACCAATATTTGCCTAAAAACTCTGATATAAACCTAACCAATGCTTTCAGATATACTCAGTATCACACATAAGTATGTCTAATATTTACATATAGATTCAATCATTAAAAAAAACAACATGAAACTACCCAGTAAGTGTCGATGTTAAGTTAACCAACCTCACCTAACCAGCCATTCAATCAAAGAGGTGAGTTTTAAAAATATATGATATACTAATATAGGAGGCACGGAAATTCCGACTGGAATTCGAACTCGGCTCTCCGATTAAGAATTCCGTTACGGTGGAGTAATGGATAGCGGCTCGGATTGAGAGATCGGAGGACCGAGTTCGAATTCCAGTCGAATCCATTACTTTCATTTACCCTTGCGAAAGGTATGAATCCTCATCTTCTCCACCCCCAGCTATGGGTAAATAGCAGGACAGACCATATAGTCTTGGATGTCAACTGGTCTACCGCAGAAAGAAATAGCAACCTACTGCGAGAAAAAAAAATCTGCCTCGTCAGTCATGTATAGAAAGATACAAGATCGCCTAAGCGTGTATCACGCATGGCACATAACTGACTGAGATAGTAATAATCACTCTTGTTTCCCACCGGTTCCCGTACGATCATCGAAGTTAAGCAACGTCGAGCTTGGTCAGTACCTAGATGGGTGATCGATTGGGAATATCAGATGCTGTAATACTTGGATGTGCAGATGGTATAATGGTCAGTCAGTTATGTGCCAGGCGGGATATACGCTCAGGTGATCATGTATCATAAATCTGTAAAGTGTTCTATAGAACCCGGCCTGTCCTGTTATTTTACCCATAGCTGGGAGGAGAAGAATAGGATTCAGACTTTTCTCAATTGTATTAGCACTTAAGTGAATGTAATGGATTTGACTGGAATTCGAACCCGGCTCTCCGATTCCTCAATCCAAGCCGCTATCCATTACTCCACCGTAACGGAATTCTTAATCGGAGAGCCGAGTTCGAATTCCAGTCGGGTCCGTTATATTCACTTACGCACAAATAATCTTCCGCAGTTATGGATTAATTAGTAAGATTTGTATCAATAAAAATATTCTTACAATCTAAAAATATTTTCTGGCTTTAAATAAACTGCCAAGGGTTGATAAACTGTAAAAAACGAATCCGTTAGTTTGTTGTTTCTCGGCTACCATTCCTATTGAAAAGCATGATGTCATTGCCAGTATTCAAACTATAGTACACCAATCTTACTTGCTTTTTTTGTTGTTGTTACTCACCAACATTAAGTAGGTGTAATCTTGGCACCATACATGGAATTGTCATTTGGAGGCCTCCATGGGAACTAAATTGTTTCGATAACTGTGATCACTATCTTTGTGTTTTCGTTTTTCCCACCGGAAAAGTTTCTACGTTGACTCAAAAAATGATCAAATCTGATTAACAATTAACATCTGTCTATATTTCTGAGATGAGGTATTATGTACATTATTTACATTAGTCGGACTATTGTCCTCATCTTTGTCGCCGTATTTATTACAACGTTTCGGCCGTTGTACGCACCGGCTATCTTCAAAATTCGAACTGGACCCTTTATTTCGCTCGCCGGGGTAGACTGTTCTAGTTCCACATGCCATGCTTGATGGATGTCAGTTATCTCCTGTTAATTCCCCACTGCCTTAACCGGGTATTGAACTCACACTCTTTGTGTCTGTCACTGGATCTAACCAACGCCTTTATCCACTGTGCCATGTGTCCTTGAGGACATCTGGGTATGAATTTCTGGGTATTATAAACCTAATGTTTTTCAGCAACCATTTTTTACCTGGCACAGTGGATAAAGCCGTTGGTTAGATCCAGTGACAGTACCCAAAGAGTATGAGTTCAATACCCGGTTAAGGCAGTGGAGAACTTTCAGAGGGAAATAACAGGAGATAACTGATAACTGACATCCATCAAACATGGCACGTGGAACTAGAACAGGCTACCCCAGTGATCGAAATAAAGGGTTCAGTTCGAAATTCCAACCACCTGAAGAAGGCCGGAGCGTACAAAAGCGGAAACGTTGTGACAAATGTGGCGACAAAGATGAGAACAATAGTCCGACTAATGTAAATACTGAACAATTAACATGTTTCAATTAAATAATCAACATTGACTCAAACCATTGATCTGCATTGACTCAAACAACTGATCTATATCAGCTCACGTAAAGTATCTACATTGGTTCATGCAAATGATGTACTTTGGCTCAAGCAAAAGAGTTCTACGTTAGTTCCAACGATTAATCTAGATTGACTGAAGCAATTTATCTACATTGGAACATTGGCATTCAGTCACTCCATCCCATCCTGTGATCTCGATGTCTCAGGTGGTTTGTGGACATTGCGCGCAAGGATAACTCTAGAACTCCCGAATAGATACGGTATTAGGAACTGTCTCAGAGCATAGTGTAAAACTTCCATGATGGAATGTTCTGTCAATGTTGCCAAATTCAGATGCGGTTGCTCGGGATCGAGTTAGGTGAAGAGGTGCTATTTTCGCAGGTGCAAAGCGCTATGAAGAGAATAAAGATCAGCACGCCATAGAGGCTAGACAAAGACGCAAATCCCTCACGGTATATGACTTCACGGTGTTCTGCTACTGTGTTTGTTCTCAAAAACCGTGCCGATCGCGCGTTCTTTATTGTAGTCCTGACGCAGCGCTGTGTTTTAAGATCACTTATTTAATGCTTCTCAGATATTTAAATTGTTTTACTTGTTTGATTTCAGTATCTCTATTTATTAAATGGGCTTTTATCCCCGTATGCACCAGTCGTAGTTTTTTTTTAAAAGAAAGCTAAAACATGAGTGAAATGTTTAAAAAGACATTCTGTAGTTTATGAAGAAGGCACTGTGAGCGATCGAACATGTCAGAAGTGGTTTTGCGAAGTGCTGTGTCGTTGATTTTTCACCAAATTGCACTTCACGGCTACATAGACTTTTGAAGTTTATAGCGATCAAACCAAAGCATTACTTCCGAAAAAAAAAACATGAAAGAATAGTCACCCTACTAAAAATATACAAACAAAGCGTGGATTTGCCTGGTTGATTTTTAGCGGCATACCAACCTCCAGAGGTTATTTAATGCCAAAATCTAAACATTTTAAGCACAATTTTATGGCTTCAACTAAATATTTTGAACGCAATTATATCTCTTCAACTATAGACAAAATGTATAGCGTGTATTTTTACTATAAAAATGTATTATTATGCTTTCATCGTGTTTTATTTGAGGGTTCACTATTTGCCATAGGTAGGACCCTAACAGGTGCTACCATACCGGGTCAGGATGGACCTGAGAACAACGTCAATTAAGAGGTGGTTCTACGCTCTTCAAAATCTCCCGATCAGAGGCCTTGCTGCCAGATGTAGTTTATCATCACCAAGCGTAGAGGAACATAGTCACCCTACTGAAACAACCCTAATTGGTTGTATAATTGCGTGCTAGTCGCTTATTTATACGCAACGAAAACTCTCCGTTTTTAAAAGAAACCTTAAAAATCAACGAAAGGTGGATACTTTACAATAATGTGAAAAGCAATAGATCGTATAACAAGCAAAACGAAGAGCTTATTGAGAAGAAAAAATGATTAATTCAAACAGACGAGCTGAAGGCAACAATAGACGGACAGCTTCCTTCCTGTATTAGCCAAGAGAAAGCACTTGATAGTGTACTTGGATAACGGTAGACGATATGCTCCTTTCATGACTAGGTACTAATTGTTAGATTGGTTTAAGAATTATGTACAGTTTATAGAAAAGTTGAAGTGAAATGTCACACTTTTTAATCATTTCACTCCGAACAAGGTCATAATGCCACTAAGACGCAAAGTGTCTACTGACAGTGAAAGCGAATGAGGAGACATTATTGAGGAGAAAGAACAATGAAAGGATGATACAGAAAGGTAGAGGGTTGCGATTGACATTGCATTTAAATTTTTGAAGACTGTCGATGAAGGAAGAAACAGGCGTGAAGTGCGAGAAAAGACACTATTAGTATTAAAATTGACATGTGCGTCTGCGGGCAGTGGAAATCTTTAATCGTCAATAGCAAACTTCATTATAAAAGTTTGCTATTGAGGATTGGTCATTTTTTAATTGGTATCACCCCCACATCAGGTGGCAAACCCACTAAGACACAATGGGTTACAATGTGTGGAAGAATTAACATTAATAATGACCGGTAAGTGGAAAGAGTAATCAGAAGGAGAGTAGATGGCGATTAACATTGCATTTAAATTTTTGCAGATTAAAGTTGGATGGAAAACCTGGATTCGGAAGGAAGTTCCAAAAACGATACGTGCGAAAAAAGAAATTGTCAGCATAGAATTTACGGTTACGGGACATCGGAGTTTTTTTTTTTTTTTTTTGCAGGGGGGGCGTTTTTATTCTCGTTGGGTGATGATCTTTAGTCGGTTTAAGCAGTTTGAATTTTTAGCAATCAAATCTCGATGTTACTTGAGAATAACCAACGTCGCCGAAGATAGCCAATAAAATCAAAATATCAAAATAGTTTAACGAAAAATATAAAAAAAAAAAAAAACTGGGCTGTATCTTTGTGTCAGATACGCTGTTTAAAACTCCAGCTTTTGAAGCAAAGAAAAAAATTGCAACGCAAGAGATGGTTAGTGAAGCAGAATGAACCATTGCTAATGGTCGGATGGGAAGAAAGCAGCTCCACCCAATAAAAATAACTATTTGCTAAGAAAACCACCGCAGCAGCACCTATAGCTTGGTGAGGCTGTCGCCGTATACACCACAAAGGGATAGACATGGTTAACACGCAATATACAGTCTTATATAACAATTTCTAATGATAACCACAACAAAAGCTGAAATGGCATTATGTAAGGTTTCAAATAACCTACGTAGCAGATTAATGTCATAAAAAATTTTATTTTATTTTCCAACTAAAGCATAATTAATCTTCAATAACAATTTATAATGCAACTCCGACAAAAAAAAAACATTGTAAGGGTTCAAATATCCATTGTAACAGCAGATATGTTAACCGGATATATACAAGGTGAAATGGGTAAATTATCGCCATTTTGATATTTTTAATTTCGCGCATGCGCTTTGTTTATGATTTTGTCGACTGCACAGTATAGTAGGGTCAGTTGGGCACCGTCTATTAGAACAAAAGCACCATGATGCAATTCACTCCGCCACAAATTTGGAAACGGCATGCTGTACTGCTTGGCATTCGCTTCGGAAGCTCCAATACGAACATTTCATAGCGGTTGGATGTCAATCTGAGGATAGTACAGGGAATTCGGAAAGAGTTGGATGAGTCTAATGGTGATTACGAAGGTGTTTGGAGCGAGCACTGGTGATGGCGACGTTATGCTTTCATTCATCTTCCCACAGGGCCTGACTCAACATAGAGTGTGTGTGGGGGTATGGGGGTGTTTTTGCTATGAACACACTCCTCTTCAGTCTATTAAACAGGAGTAGTTTATCCTTTGTTTCCTGTTTAGTATTGTATTCCCGGTTCATTCTAAAACATTTTACATTCTTTTTCACTCCCAGAAGACCCTCGCGTCTAAATGCCATTATCGACTTGTTTGGGGGGAATTGATTATATATATATATATATATATATATATAGAGAGAGAGAGAGAGAGAGAGAGATAGAGATAGAGAGAGAGGTAGAGAGAGAGAGGTAGAGA